TTTTTTTTTTTTTTTTTTTTTTTTTTTTTTTTTGTTCGAATAAATTCAACAGTTTCTTCTTCCGATTTCTCTTCTGAATCGTTCGTAATAACCAAAGAAAAACCGAGAAATATTTGTACCAAAAAAAAAAAAAAAAAATAGTGCTTTTTTACGAATAAAACGATTATTAGATTTTCAACAATAAAAATTAATTATGCATTTGTAACGGGGCATTAAAGTGTGATTAACAACAAAATTTTTCCTTCTATATCATCTGTACAGAAGATGTTAAAGAAACCGTTTGGTAGTTATTGGAAAACAAAACAAAAAACAACAACAACAACAGCAACAATATCATTTAATCTAATTTTAGAGCACTTTATAAACACAGTCCTTTCTTTTCTTTTAAACTTTTTTATCATCTCCGCCACAATCCAACGTATTAACTGTTCAACTTTCAGAATAACAAGGAAGTACAATGAATTTGCAAAAGGAATCATAACACCGATATTAAGTAATTATCAACACACTGAGTAGTTGTAAAACCAGTGCTGCAACTGTTATTTTTGGTAAATATTTACTAGTTGAAACTCTTTTTTTTTTTTTGCAAATTTTCAAAAATTTTAACCTATTCAAAATGTCTTCAGTTATTGTAGTCAAACAAGCAAACAATGCATTATCCATCTGTAGAAAGTTACTGAAAGTTTTTCAGCAACTGTTCAAGTTCATCAAAAAAAAAAAGGAAAAAAAAAATTCGACACATTTATCAATAAACTTACGTAATTGTTCTTTGGCAAATTAAATAGAATGGAAAAAAAAACCACCATAAACAAATCATCATTGCCCTAATATCAGCATTTCAGCCAGTTTTTCTGATGCCTAACAAAGAACTGACTGCACCAAAAAACATACGCCTTACTTGGTCCATCTTCACCAAAATAATTATTACCGTTACCGGTGAACAGTCTATAAGCCAACAGCAGCAGCAGCAGCAGCAACAGCAACAGCAACAGCAACAGCAACAGCAACAGCAACGGTAACAGCAGTTCCAGCCAATACAATTTTGCCACTTTTATGACCATTTCTTAAAGCTTTTTGCATACCTTCATTTTCACCTCCACTGTCTCTGAATGCTCAAAACTCATCTATTTGTCCATTATCTTAAAACTCAAACTTGATTTGCCCAAGGCATTTTTTTTTCTGGTAAACGGTATTTGCAATAAGACTGATCTTTTGTAAAATAGATGTTTTACATCGGGATGTCACTTTAATTGTTGCTCTAACTTAACTGAACTACAAATTACAATGCTCAAAAAAACCGAATTCCCAATTTGAAAAACATAATAACAGCCAAGAAATACAATTAAAAAAACTCATTTATCATTTGACAGATAACTCTCCCGCTTATGTTACAACAGAAAAAGAAAAATTTGAGAGACCATTGAGCGATTTTTGGACTCAGTAATCGTTAGCAATAAACCGATAAAGGATGAAACTACCGAAGTGAAAAAACGTTCTTGCTTGTATATGTTCATTTTTACTATATCAAAAAAAAAGGGAAAAAAAAGTGAAGACAGTTTGTAAATTGTTTCATAAACTGCTTTTTACGCATCATACTTAGAAATTCTTTATACCCGTTAAGGTCAGTTGTAATAACCAACAATTAAATCATTAGGATCAAAACAATTTTGCCAATCTTTTGCTGTCATTCTTTTTTATATGAAACATTGAGCCCACGGTAAGCCGCAAACCTCTGGAAAAAAATTTTTTTTGATACTGAGTAGCTGTACAGAATTTGAGAATTGGGCATGCTTTTTTATTAGTTAAATTTCTTAGTAGCTGGTTTTTCTGTTTGTCGCCACTAACTGACAAATCTTTTGATCGAAGAATCTTTTTCTATGACATTTCCTCTACAGATCGTAACTCTGTCTTATTGCAGTCATATTGCAGGTAGCCATTAGTCGTTTGCTAACTTACAGCACCTACCTATTAAAGAGGAGAGTCTTATAATAGCTTATCTAAGGCTTTTAAGCAAAAAAGAATGATTTGACAGCCAATTACGACTCCTGCAAGATATCAGACAGTAGGGAGCTTCACGACGAATAGTTTCGACAGTTGTTGACCAAGGAAGGCTTCACTGATAAAAATGACTCTGTATGCTGATAAACCTTTGCTGTACTGAATATTTTGTGCGATGAGTATTGAATTTATCTAACTTGTTTATTACTCAATCAAAACAAAAATGGCTTGGAACTGAACAGTATAATATACCAAAAATAAACCTGAACTCAAAACATTTAAACAGCACGACACGAAACTGATTTTGAGCTTGAAGCGATGAAGACTTATAAGTGCATAACCAGCACGCCCTACACAGTAAGAGAAATCAAAAAAGAAAAAACTTTAAATTGAGTATGGAAAGCTTTTCTTGAACTCGTATCACAAGGTAACTTAGAAAAGACGATGAAGCCAACAATAACCTGCCTCGCTTTATATCTCTTTATATTCTGGCTCGACCTTAAATAACCTGTAGTCTGCTTTTCAAAAGCTTCTGCCTCGGCTTAGATCCAAATTCATGCTCTATGATGCTTCTGCCCGTTTGCGCGTTCGTCGCGACACCCTTCAAAAAAAAAGAAGCAACCAACAGCATCTAAAGAAAAAATGATATTGGTTAAACCACTGACTTACCGTTATATGTGACTGATCCCCTGTCTGAGAAAAAGCACAGTATAATGTTCAAAATACATAACTAATAAACAAATACAGAAAAAAAAATATCGAAACTTACTAAGCAATTACAACAGCGTAAATTTACCTTTAAAATATATGCTCAAAATATTGACTGTCGACTTCTTGTTTCTTTTTATACCCCACTCCCAAAAACTTGCCCGACTGAAAGGCTTTTCCTATGACAATTCGAGTTTTCTTTTACTTTCTGTAAAATATTTGCTTGAAAGCTTCTGCGTCGTTTTTTTTTGTTTTTTTCCTTATTTTTTGCTTTTGATTTAGACATTGTAAAAACTGCTACAAAAAAATCTTAAGTTTGTCTGGAAAGACTGTCTACTAAGAACCTCTTGTATCAGTCCTTAATCCCCAGTTGGAATCTGTCTACACGACAAACCAAGAGAAACTTTCAGTGGCTCATGGCTTACGTAACTCTCGAAAATCTTCACCACTAAAATTGAAACACAGAATACTATTTGAGATACGAAACTGGAAATCAGAACATATATGTAGCTCAATACCAGTGAAAATAGAACTTTTAACAAGGAACGGTAAGACCTTTTCTGTTAGAAAACAATTTACTCTTCAAAACGGAATTTTGTCAGCTTCCATATAAACGTAGGCTGTCAGGAGCTAAAACGTCTCATCTCTGTCAAAGTAGTTAGCAGAATGTTGGAGTACAAGGATCTAAATTGTGAGAAATTTTGATAAACATGCTTGGATTTTCTTTTTGAACCGGTTATAGGACGACACATAGAGAGCAGAATATTATATGCTGACAGTCACCATTACTCCCGTGGACAGTCAGACTACAAGCTGTTTGGTTTGGACAAATACGGTCGTCGCTTATGATCTGAATTAATAGATTTAATTAAAGATGTAGCGTTTTTAAGTAAACTGATTGAACAAATCCCGTAAAAGGTCACATCTTCTGGCTAGTCTGCAGATCAATTTCTTCACTGCAGGAGCTGGATTAGGTGAGTTGTGTCGTATAGGTCTGCCTTATGGAACCTCTCCGAATACCTCTAGGTACAGTTCATCGGCCATGGAAAACATCATCGCCACACGTTTCAAAGACATGTGCAAACATTGACTGTCTAGATAAAGGTCTTTTGCGGTATTTCACCAAGTTTATAAAGAACCAAGTTCCTTCGTCTTTATTTGGAAGACCACTGATTACTCCTCACCGCAAAAGGTCTAAGTCGCGGATGCAACATAATTTCAAATTCATAGTCATTTTTTTGATTTTTCAAGGATCATTTTTTCCCGACATCTAGTACTTGAGACGAATAATGCTCCCATCTAAAGAATTTGGTACCACAACTTAAGATTTTGCACTGGAGGTCTTTCAAGGATCGATAACTTAAAGAAATCTAAGCAAAAGATTTCTTTTCTTAGAATGCGAGTCAGAAATTTAGAGTGTCTTGTCGTCACTTTTCTTCCTCTCAGCGCGTACCGGAAGTCTGGTTCATTCATTTGAAAAGTTGGGCAACAAATTGGCGGAACTTAATGTTTCAGTATATCATACTGGGAAGACCTGAAGGCGTATAACCTTTATAGTGCTCTGCCGCAGCTATCAGAATTTCAGCAGCGGGAAAATTTGAGCGAGCATTGATGAGTTATTTAGCGACTAGTTCCGTTCTTTCTACAACTTTTAATCGCGTAGAAAACCCCTCCAAAGAGTAAACCAGCAGGACAACAACAGAAGAATAATCTCCGGCTGCGAGACTGAAGCATAAAACGTTTTGTGCATTACGCCCGTTCTTTTGCTTCTTTAAATTATCGCTTAAAAGAACTCTCTACAAGGCAT